TACTTTAAAGAGATAAAATTTTGGATAATTACTTGGATGAGCAAATGCATGGAAATTAAATGGACCACATAATTAGAATAAGCTCTAAATTTTGATTCTTGTGTTTGGAAGCATGCTGCTGTTTAAAGTAACTAAGGATATAACTAAGATATATAAAGAAACATATGTATGGATCAAGTAAAAGAGACTATCATGAACTGAGAGAGATGATTTATAAGTTTTTGTGCCTTCTGAAAAAGAGAAAATATAAAACACAGAAAGAAATTAGACAGATGGAAACAATGGTCCACTTTTAGGGTTCCATGGGACCAGGTCTGGGAATGTGGAAATAGTAAACCTGAAGTAAGAGAAGAGGAGAGTAAGGGTTGAGATGAAGACATGAAGGGCGGACAGAGAACTTGCAAAGAATAAGGCTGGGAGTACCAGGAGATGGAATAAGGAAAGGGCTTCAGTATTTTGGGAAGTTCAGGAGAAAGTCTCAGTGTTGGTGTGGGCTAATAGAAGCAGAATCATTTTTGTTCTGGTTGTGTTCTTAAATTTCCTTCTGAAAGTCTCTTCTTAGAAAGAAAATTAGCCAGACTTCCCCAGTGTAATGCAAGGGGAACCTCTGTTTTGAGTGACAAAGGAAATGAATCAGGTTTTAGTTTTCCACATTAAATAAGAATAGCTCAAGCCCTTGTCCAGCAACTACATCAACCAAAACCAAAGAGCCTCTTTCCCCACAGTTTCCTCATTTCCCCTCAAGTCCCAAGAACTGAGGCACATTTTTGTGCTCAGTATACTCACAGTTTTATGATGTCTGATCCATATATCTGAACCATCAAATAGCAAGTAGTTTTCAAGAACAGTTTTTCTAAGAAAAAAGAAAGGGAAATTAGAGTATTTGTTTTATTATGATAGATTTAACTTGTGAATTAATAATGCTTATCATTACTATAAACTAAATCTGAGTGATGGATTTATGATCCTATAAATCTATAGTTCAAGTAATCAGCTTTTTGCATGTTGAAGATTACCAATTTCTTTAAAAACACATTTAAATTTGGGAGTTTTATTGTTATTTTTAAAAACAGAGTATCTGAATATTGGCTAAGATGTCAATTACTGTTGTTGAAAGAAATAGTATGTTCATTAAAGTTACTGAAAATATTGCTGTTAGAAATATTCTCTGGTCATCATTTGGGGAAAATTTTATATGCTGCTCTTGTCCAGGAGTAAAAAGAGACCAAAAAAATTCGTGCATCTGAACAGCCATCTACCACACACACGCCCCCATCAACATTTATAATTTATCCAATCACAAGAATACAGGAAAACTTTATGAACAGGCCTTTGAAACTCAACACATTCTCTCTCTGGCCCTGGTTCTTCTGTTTATGAGCCTATTGTGGAATCTTGAGATTGTACCCAGGACTTTCGCATAGTTAGAATCAGATGAGAAGGGATGAAATATCCTTCATGAGGAGACTTTATCTTATCGTTTTACATCTCACACTAGGATATTCAGGACTTCCTAGAGGGGAGAGTGGTAAATGACAGGGTAACTATAGGGACCATCTTCTGGCACCTCAGCGTCATGCAATGTTGCTGTTATTGCCATGTGCTGTTGAGTCACCTGTTATCCACAGCAACTCTATATACAGCAGCTCTGAACCCTCTCCTGTCATTAGCCTGCCTCACTAATTCCGGCACATCAATGCCCATTGCCCCACTTACTATATCAATCTATCTCATCCTGGGTCTTCCTCTCCGGTACTGTCCCTTCTACCTTCTGAGCATGATGTCCTTCTCCAAGGACCAGTCTCTCCTGGCCATGTGCCCAAATTATTTAAGACAGAGCTTTAACATACTAGCATCCAAGAAGAAACTTGGTTTCATCCTCTCCAAGACAGACCTATTTGTTTTCTTGGTGTTCCATGGTACGTTCAAGACTCTTCTCCAGCACCAACAACTCAAAGGCATCAATTATTCTTCGGTCATTCTTATTCATTGTCCAGTTCTCTGATGGACAGCAAGTAACTGTAAAGACCATGGCCTGAATTAGGTACACCTTAGTCTCTAGACTGACATCGTTGCTGCTGAATTGACTCTGATACACGTTGCAACTCCCTAGGAGGAACAGAGCAACTCTGCTTTGTAGGGTGTCAAGGCTATGATCTTCCAAGAAGCAGATCAGTAGGGCTGTGTTCTGAGGTGCCTTTGAGCATGTTAAAATAACTTGTGAATAATGTTTAATAGTATTTTTGTATTAACATACATGCATTTGCCTTTTTTACAATGAAGCAGATTTTAAATATATTTTTAGCTTGAAGTAAGCCACTTAAAACCATATTCTATCACTACTATCAATGTTATAGAAATAAAGATAATTGAAGGGAAATACGTTGGAAATTCATATGCCAGTGAATTGGGTAATTTACAAAAAATGGAAACATTTTTAGCAAGATATTAACTACTGAAGCTGACTCATGAAGAAACACAAAATTTTAATAGACAGGAAAGTAAAAAGATTGAGTTAATAATAAGATAACTTGCCACACAAAAAACCCCCAACCCTGTAAGTATTATTTAACTGATGAATTCTATCAAACTTTTAGAGAACTAAGACCAGCTATTTATAAAATATTCCAGAAATGTAAGAGGAGAAAATACTTCTCAATTTATTCTAAGAGGTGTGTTTGATTGAAGCCATGATCTTTCTGATCAGTTGCTATGCATCTGAGAGCTAGAAAATGAATAGGAATGACAGAAGACGAATTGATGCCTTTGAACATCAATTGGTGGTATTGGAGAAAAGTACATCCCATGGACTGCCAAAAGAACAAATAAATATGTCTTGGAGAGGGTTTAGAAAGAGTGCTCCTTGGAGACAAACAGAGATGATGAGGCTTTGCCTCACCTGCTTTGGGCATATTGCTACAAGGGGCTATTCCTTAGAGAAGGAACGATGCTCAGAAAGGTAAAGGGTCAGCGAAAGAGAGGAAGACCCTCAACTAGGTAGATAGATATGGTGACTGCTACAATGAACTCTAATGTGTCAGGAAGTGTGAAGATGGCACAGGATAGGACATGGTTCAGATGTGTTGTTCATAGAGTCACTATGGGTCGTACTTGACTTGCACCTAACAACATAACAACAATGTAGGACTGGTTTAGTCTAGAGAAGAGCAATTTAAAACTAACATTAAGATGTCCTTTAATGACTTGTAGTATTGCCTGAAAGACAGAAAAGAATAATTTTTATTTTTTTAGGTTGACTATTTTTTTAAATTAATTTTAATGAAAGTTTACAGAGACTTAGGGTTTCTAGTCATTCATTGTTGCACTTTCTCCCTGCCCACTTCTTTTCCCCCAATTCACTCTTCTTGAAAAGGAAAAGAAAAACTCTTTCATTGTTATGCAATCTCTCCTCCCAAGTCCACTCTACTATGCAGCCTTCACTCTGGACTTCTTTAATGACAAGAATATTCATTCATATATCCCTTTTAAACAGTTCTCTCCCTCATCTCTTTCAATGCAAAACATCATTCCTCTGCTCCTTTTCAGTCTTCCCTCAATCCTGATGTCACTCCTGTTTTATAACAGTGGCCCTATACAATATTTGTCCTTTTATCACCGAGATATTTCACTCAGCATAATGTCCTCCAGGGTCATCCATTTTGCATAATATTTTGTGATTTCCTTGTTTTTCCAATGCTGCATAGCATTCCATTATGTGAATACCAGAGCTTCTCTATCCATTCGTTTGTTGATGAGCCCTTGGGTTGTTTCCAGCTCTCTGCTATTATGAACAAAACGGCAATAAACATGGGTGAGCATATATCTCCTTGGGTGGCAGTTAGGGTTTCTTTAGGGTAAATTCCCAGTAGTGGAATTGCTGGGTCAAATAGTATTTCTATTTGCACCTTTTTGAGAAAGTGCCATGCTGCCTTCCACAGTGGTTGCATCATTTTACATTCCCACCAACAGTGAATAAGGGTTCCAGTTTCTGCACAACCTCTCCAGCATCTGATGTTTGCTGTTCTGTTGAATTTTGTTATTCTTACTGGGGTGAGATGATATCTCATAGTTGTTTTGATTTGCATCTCTCTTAGAGCTAGTGATTTTGAACATTTCATGTGTTTGTTTGCCATCTGAATGTCTTCTTTGGTGAAGTGTCTGTTCATATCTTGTACCCATTTTTAAATTGGGTTATTTACCTTTATCTTGTTATAGTGATTGAGTATTTTATAAATTGTAGATGTAAGTCCCTTGTCTGACATGTCATTACTGAATACTTTTCCCCAGAATATGGTTTCTCTTTTTACCCTGTTCGAGAAGTTTATGGATGTGCTTCTTAGAAGGGTCCCATTCTTCTATTTTATCCTCTCCTGGTTGTAGATTTTCTAGATGCTGGGAAGACTATTTATGTTGTGGTTTAGAGTTATTCCAAGCTGGAAAATAATAACTGTTATTTTTTTATGTAATAAGAGGAGTGTGTGAGTTATTGTGTGTTTGAATTCTATTTTTATCGAGGGAGTGGCTGCTGTAAAGGTTCTCTTCATCTTCTGAGAAGAACCATCAAATGGATTCTGCGATTGTTAAGAGTGGGAGACCCTATAAAAGTAATGGTTAATAGATACATGAATTGGCCATTTGAAGAATAAGAATTAGCATCATCAGAGAAATTAATTTCATAAATATGTGAGAGTTTCTGAAAAGAGCTACCTATCTAGGTTACAATTTGATCTAGACAGCTATGATTAAATTGTAACCTGTTATTGATAAAACAGTGGCCTAGCAGATAAAAAGTTGCACTGTCAACCTAAAGTCATGGCAAAACAGTTCAAATTCACTATTTGCTCTGCAAAAGAAAGATGAGAACTCTGTGATTTACTGTCTCTGAAAACTCATTGAAGGATCAGGCATGAGTGGATTCAAGTCGGTAGTAATGAGTCTGATAAATTACTGATAAAACTCACAAAAAAGATTGCCATTAATATATTGATAGCAACCTATCTAAGGTTTAGCAAGGATTCCTGGGGGTATATGTGGTTACCAACCAAGAATTTGATTGCTTGATCCCACTCAACTTGTATTGCTTTGAAAAAACCCGACCAGTTTCCATAAAGATTACAGCCAAGAAAACTATAGAGGACTTGTTCTTTCTCCGCCATATGAGCTAAAATAGACTCAACAGCATACAGGGAAAAAAAGAAATCAACAGGAAGCTGCTGTTTATGACTCATGAAAGTCCTGCAATGGGTTTCTGGGATTTAACTCGTTTTGGGAAAAGACTTCCTGTTGTTCTCCTGCAGACAAGCTAGTGAGTTCAAACTGCTAACATTTCACGTAGCAACTCAACACTTAAGCAATTACATCACTAGATCCAACAATGTTTCATTTCCTTAGATCCCAAAAGTAATGGCATGGAACATCATCCAAAAACAATAGCAACAATAAATGACACCCCCAAAACTGATTGCAGTTGAGTTAGAACCAATGCATCGTTGGTCTTCCAGTGGATTTGCAGAGGCTGTAAATTGCACAAGAGCATCGTAGGAAATAAAAATAAAAGTGTAGCATTCCAAAAAATAGTAGTGGGGGAAAAGGGTCAATTGCATAATATTTATCTATCTGTATGTTGTTTTTTGTGTGCTGCTGAGTTGGAACCAACTCATAGCTGACTGTAGTGGGTTTTCAGAGGCAATAAATAACACAGGAGATTGCCTAATTATCTTTTGAGAAGCAGTTGGGGGATTATGCATATCTTTGAGCTGACCAGGTAATTTATAATTTATCACCATCAGATAAATTTATAATTTATCACCATCACCATCACCATTATATAATTTATAAACTATCAGCTCTCCC